TTATTTTGTGGATTGCAAAAAAAAAAAAAAAAAAAATACCAAGCAGAGATCGTGTTCCTTTTATTGGATCAACAGATTTGATCGACGAGAATGAGGAAAGAAGAAACGCGAGGATTGCCGATCTTATTCGTTGTACGAGGTAAATCATTTCGGACGGAGGTTCACCGATCGTTGTTTCTTTTTCTTTTTCAGATCTGACCATGTTGGACTCGCTGATGAACACGTCGAAACCAGGAAGCACGGGGATCCAGGATCGTTTGCTTCATTACTGCCCCAGGTGTCTGCACGGTTTCACCCTGAAAAGTAACCGTAACCGTCATTACAAGTACGAATGCGGGTACGAACCGAGGTTCAAGTGCCCTTATTGCGATTTGAAGAGCAAACAAACGTCGCAGGTTTACTGTCACATCAGAAAGAAACATCCGACCGAGAAGGTTTGCGTGATCGATCTTAATTACGAGACGAGGTGAAAAAATACCTCTCTGAATGAATGAATCTCTCTGTGAGGTTAATTCACCGATTTTTAATCAAACGGACGGATCGTTTTCCTACGATAATATTGTACACAGTGAGTGATAATAAAACGTTTTAATTCACCACGATGATATTGCTCCCACATCCTTGCGCGCGGTGGATTTTCTCCCTTTTCCTCGTTCTTTCTTTCTTTTTCTTTTTTTTCTTCGTCATTTTTCTCCCGGAAAAATGAGAGAGAGAGAAAAAAAAAAAAAGGATTTGACGATTGACAGAAAGAAAAGAGACGTAAGGAGAGACGTAACGTTCCATCCTTACGTTAAACGGACGAGAGTGGCGCGACATCTATAGCGGCGCAAAAATCGTCACATCAGAAACATTGTTCGATCCTGCTAACCGTCTCGCTCTTGTTTTGCTTTCAGTGGGTCGTTCGTTTCGTCTGCTATACGGGAATTATGAAGCCGATTCGTATCAGGAGGCGAGGAAATATCAGGCATCGGGAATCGACGTCTACGAATCGCTTCGACGGAGAGGAAGCAAGAAAAAGAATTACGTGTGTCCGAAGTGTGGAAACGGTTACACCGTGGTGAAAAGTTTAAAGCGCCATCTACGTTACGAGTGCGGTGTAGCACCAAGGTTCAAATGCCCTTACTGCGGCACGCGCAGCAAGCAAAGAGCTCACGTGAACGAGCACATACGTAGAAAACATTCGGGTCAACGGATCTACATTATCGACTCGCCTTGATGTTGACGAGCTGCCGTTCAGAGTAGATATATCCATCGAATAATCGACTTTCCATCTTCTCTTTCCACGATTAGGATTAGGATCACAACGGAGCACATCTCGCCAAGGTATCCCATCGTCGTCATCATCCTCGACATCGTTTCGTTTCACATCGACAAACTTCGTGTCCTCGTCGTATTATTTCTTATATCAGGAGGAGACATCGAATTATCCCGGGGACACGAAGCGATTACGCGTGCAATTTTAACGAATGTATATATGAAATGCGAATAAAAGCATTGTTACGGCACTCTTGTACTTGAACAAGTATCTGTTTGTGATCGTGGTTTTCGGTTTGTAGACGATATAGGAGCGGAGTGATGAGGAATAAAAAAAAAAAAAAAAAAAGAAAAAGAAAAAGAAGAAGGCACCTTGGGTGCGGATGTTAGAATCCTGGATTATTGGCCAGAGATTCGAAATTAGGTCTCCTCATTTTTTCCTCGCTCCTGTAAATTCAACGCGCGACAATCACTCGTTCCTTTTTTCCCATAATTCGCCTAGATGGCGCGCCCCCCCCCACCTCTCCCACTCGCTTTATCGTTTTGTTTTTTTTTTTTTAGACTTTGTTCCTCCTTTAACGGATCATTCATTGGGTCAAAAAAAAAGTCGAGTCTATGCGTGTTTGCTTTCTCCATGGATCTAAAAAGTAGTGCGCAAAGATTTTAGATTTTAAGATATGGATGAAACTAGAGAAAGAAGAAAAATCATACGGCTGTGTTCGTAAGCCAAGTGAATGGTGCACTCTGCGGGCAAGCTCTGTTATTAACAATGGTGTATAATTTGTTACAAGTTTATCACGTGGTTTATCGCCATTTATCATCATTTGACGTACTAATACGGCTGCAAATTTTCTCCTTTCATCTTCAGTTTCGATCCCGTTATCGAAGCTAGGCGCT